AAAAGTGAGCCACATATTGTGTGATTCCATTTCTTTTTTTTTTTTTTTTTCCTTTTTGTCTTTTTTCATGTCCGGCAACGGATCGCAACCCTTGGTGTTGCCCCCGCGCCTCGCTCAGCCAGTGAGCGGGAACCGGTCTGTATGTGGGATCCGAACCCTCAGCGGGAGCGCCTCCGCGCTTTCCCAAGTGGCGCACTAGCGCAGTGCACCACCGGGCCGGCCCGTGTGATTCCATTTCTACAAAATATACAGAGTAGGCAAATCCACAGAGACAGAAAGATACATGGAGGCAGGGGTGGGGGCAAGAAGGAATGAGGAGTGATATAGGAATGAGTGCTGCAGCAGCTGTGGCCTTAGGCAATTCACTCAACTTCTAGAAGCCTAGGTTTACTCTACTGAGTGAGAGAGCTTCCTGTCTGAGGGTCCTCAATCCTATTATTCTAGCCTGAAGCAGCCCAGTCCAACTTGTGCTGCATTTACAGTTTTCAATGATCTCCTGTGAACTTCACCTTACCTGCCCCTGCCACACCCTCCTGTGTGCTGCCATTTCACAGAGGGAGAAATGAACACTCAGAAGTAAGCCAGCACGTGCCCCAGACACACAGCTGGGTTCAAATCCAAGCCTATACCTCCTACTCCTGTGTTCTTCCTCTACTAATATGATGGGGACACAGGAAAAATCCCTGGGGGACAGTAGAGGAGGCTTCCCAGCCCTAGCTCGGGCTGGACACAGAGCATGTGCTCATTCCCAGAGCCAGAGCTGTGGCTGTGACCTGGTTCCAAGGTGTGCACAGCTCTCATAGCAAGAGGAGAAGCCCATTCTTTCAAAGGTTTGAGCAATCTTTTGCATTCCAAGTGGAAGACAGTAGGATTTATCTCTGAATACTTTTGTTCTACGAAAAACAATCCAATAGCTTTTTTAATAATGAAATGTGAAGCTAAATTCTCTTATAAATTTGCGGTATTTGACACCCGACCTTCCCAACAGGAAAAGAGGTTAGCCATGGGACAGTGGGGACTGAACTAGCAGCAAGAAGGACAATGTAGAGAGTGTCCCGGTATCTGGCCTGGATTTGAGACCCTGTGGCAGAGAGGAAGGACCTCAAATGACAGGCTCTTTTCTCATGCAAGACTGTGTGAGATTCTGGGAGAAACTGAGGACCCCAGAGGCACACAGAAGGGTGCAGTGGCACCTGGGGGGACCTGGCAAAAGCAGAACTGTTGGGGACAGAAGACAAAATGCACAGGCGTGATGAGGAGATCCTGGCAGGGCTGGGATATGTGGTTCTAGAACATCTGCGGCTGCCTCATGGCCCAGCCTCTGTGGTTCTCAGTGCAGCCAGACAGCCAAGGGGCTTATCGTAGGACCAAGCTGGGCAGAAATGTGGGCAGCCTCTGAGGTGCCTCAGTCCCTCCTTGGGCAGAGGCAGCGGGTGAGGCTGCGATCAGAGTGAAACTGATGTGGGTGGAAGTGGAAGTGACATTGCTGGACTCTTCCCCCGTTGGTGTGGCTGGGAGCCCAGAGGTCGCCCTGAGAAAGGACACTTTCCTCAGCTGCACATCGGAAACTTCTGCCGGGGATGTCCACCAAGCTATGGTTTTCAAAAGGCTTTGCACGTTTTTGATGGAAATACATCAGTTTGTGTTTTACAGATGAGCCAAAAGTTACTTACAAAAAATTCTTGCTAATTTGATAGGAAAAATTGAATTTCTTTGCTTCTTAATCAGAATTTGTGAGTAATCTGAGGAATCTATAATGCTTGGAATATATCTGAAGTTAAATGTGTTTTCCAAGTTTTACTGGCCATTTGTGTTTTGTTTACTTCATGTATTGCCTGATTTTCATATTTGCCTAGTGAGCAGTGTAGTTTTTTAAGTGGTAAATTGGGGCTTTATGTTTTATGATCTATGATTTATCTGTTTTTACAAAAGCAATTTATTCATTTGAAGACATAACAAAAAATTATCCATTTTAACGTGAACAATTCTGTGGCATTAAGTACATTCACAGTGTCGTGAAACCACCACCTGTGTCTGTTTACAAAACAATGCCATCCCTCGAAAGTGCAAGTTTTTTCCTAAAGCTGAAATGATCTGATTATTTGACAAAACAAACTTGATTCTGCTCACTTTACTTTAATTCCTAATACTTAGAAACACAAGTTGGTAATCACATATTGTAATACAGAATGTTCTCTATGGTGACATGTTAGGATACCAGCTGAGATACAGATGAAGGCACATGCCAGATCCAGGTTCACAGATCCAAAAAAATGCACTGACTTCAGTCTGGCTTTTAAATACAACCAAATACAACTCTTTTTGCAAAAATTGGATGGTTGCTGTTAAATATGATACCTTATCCTTCTCATGCCAATTGTTTCTTTATAAGAATAAATAACATTTAGTAAACAATAATAAATTATGATATAAATCAATCAGTACCCTTTGTTTCTAAAGATCTTAATTAAGTTATCCTGACACTGCTGGAAGTGTCTATTTCCTGCCCAGGCTCCTGGAGCCAGTCCAATTATGCTCCACCTCTCCCTCCCCCGGCCCATTCGCTGTGTCACTGGAACTGGTGCCACCTGTCCCACCTGTTCACAGAGAAATTAGCAGAGATCACACAGGGTGGGAAGGGTCTTTGGGACCTGTTTAAGGCTTTCTCTCTAATGAAAAATGCATGGAAAAAGAAATTGTTGACATGAAAGACAGACGGAGTGGTCTGAAGCCTTTCAATGGTGTAAATATTTAAATTATGCTTTATAAACTCACAGATTCTTATTTTCAGAGTAACTCTGGCCCTACTCCCCATATGTCAGGAGGACACAAACAGACACTTGCCTTAGCTCAGAGGTCACCGCACGTCTTCTGTGAAGACCAGGTAGGAATGTGCAGGATTTCAGGACCAAATACATCTCTGTCACATATTCTGTGTTGTCATTGTTGTACCTTTTAACATCTCTTAAAACAATAGATACCACTCTCAGCTCTGGGCCATGTAAAAACAGGCCGCGAGGCAGACTGGCCACCAGCTGTACTGTGCTGACCCCAGGCTGGGGCCCAGGGACACAGTGTGAGACAGAGCTGGGAGAATGAGTTTCTACCTGGGGCTGTCCCAGTGATCAGGCTTCACCTCTCTTTGGACAGGAACCTCTCTAAGCTCGTTCAATGATTGTGTGGCTGTCCACAGCTTACCTAGTTAAACATATGTCTTGCTGCAGCTGAGCATGAGCCCTGTCCTCATTCACATGACTCTTATCACCTTATCACTCTGGTCTCCGGCATGTCCCTGCTACCCTGAGCCCAGCTCCCTTCCTGCCACCATTGCTCCAGACAAATCTCCCAAGTGACACTCGGCACAAGGAACCAAATGAGTGAGAGAAGACAGAGTCTCTAAAAACAATGTCTGCAAACAAAGAAACAGGGCAATGAAAAAAAATAACTTCACCAACCTGAGACAGGTCTCTGGTTTTCTTGCAGTTGATCCCTCCAATGAAGACCATGTTGGGCATCACCGGCCTGGGATACTCAAACACAAAGTCGTATCTCAACAGCCACACGGAGACATTCTGATATAAGGTGGATACATGAACATCTCTCTTGAGGACATCCAAGGCCAGGTCTTTGTACTTTGAATACAGACAATGAAACAGATAGTTCTGCAACAAATCAGCCAGGAAGTTGGCCACCCGTTGGGGGAAAGTCATGTGGTCTGTGAATGCTGTGTAGAACCTGGGAACATAGGACACGGGGTTTGGGCTTCTGGTGAATGCGTACTCCAGGGAGCACGGGAAGCCCCTGAAGAGGTACACAGAGGGCAGGCCCAGGTATTCCGCCAGGATCACTCCACAGGGTAAGGCCGGGTCTGTGAAAAGAGCATCGAACTTGCTCTCCTTGAGGAAATTCAGGGTGGCACGGTCCTTCAGGAGGCTCTGGCAGTTGATGAAATACATGTCAATTACAATCATATTATTCCTATACTCTGTCTGAGCAGCAGTCAGGAATGATCTCTCAGCAAAGTGATTGTTTCCAAAGGAGCGGTAGCGGTATTCCATTTCTTCTTGGTCATAAGGCACAGGATAGATTTTTCTTGTGTAGTATTTGGATTCTCTTAAAAGCAGATTGACTTCTGACACCAGCAACACAATTTCATGTCCCCTGTCACTGAGGGCCTCAACTATGTCATTCATACTAAGCCAGTGGCTTCCATCCTGAGGTGCCACCAGCAGCTTGTCACCTGCAACTGAGCCCCAAAAGGCTAAGAAGAAAACCCCTGCAGAAACTCTCTGCAATGAACCAAGAAGGCACGCCATCCTGGAGGGAGTTAAAGTAACAACAATAATAAATAGATTAGATGCCCTAAACCACAGGGATCCTAGATCTGCTCCCTAAACCAACCTTGCTTGTCACACACCCTGCTACTTCTCCCTTGCTCAGAATCCTGCCCTTTGATATTACAGAACTTCAATTAATATTTAACTATTTTTAACCACATAGCTAACTTGGACCAATTAGGCCTCTTGTCCACTTTCACCTGAGGTTCTAGGTTTATTTTTCTCTTTTTCACCACCAAGCTGCCTGTGCCTCTCTGAAGACTCAGAGCACCAGTGTGAGGACAACCTGGAGGGACCTGTGCCCACAGCCCTCTGATCTGAACTCTCTGGGCTCCTCTTCCTCCTTGCTGATGTCCATGGATGAAAAGCTGTCACTGCTTTTCCACTTTTTTGTCAACTTTTCTAACAACAGAAAGGAAGCATTAACTTAACACATGACAAATCCAAGATTCAAAACAACACAATAGAGCCATCCACTCCATGGCTGGACTAATAGGTGCGCTGCAGAAGGCTGAGTGAGTGCGCACAGGAGTTGAGATAACTTCTCACCTCCACTGTTATTGGGGGTTTTCTCTCACATTCAGCCAAATCTAGTACTAATAGATACATGCTATAACACCAGAATTTCCCCTTCCAATGTGACTATGAGGGTGAGTTCTGGAGTCACCCTGCCCCTTCTTAGCTGGGTGAACCCTCTGCTCTACACCTCTATTGCTGTCTAATTTAAATGGGAGTTGCATCAGTACCTCCGCCAGAGTTGATGCAAAAATTAGCCACATTATTACTCATGAGTGCCAGGACAGTTCCCTCACTGGGACCCTCTATCTCTCATCAGGCGGCTGGGTTCTATGTTATGAACTGAGAACCATTTCTGGCGAACAAAAAGTAGTGCCTGAAAAACGTCAACATGTGAAAGCTCCAGACCTGCCCTGAATGAGAGAAGTACAGGAAGAGGAAAAGATGTAAAAAGAGAAGTGGGAAAAATAAAATAGGAAAGAAAATGTAGAAACACAAACAGTGGGAAGGCATCAGGGTGACAGGGCATTTGGATGTTAGCAACTGGCCCAGCCAGAGGTTGAAACAAAGAAAAGGTGTCCCTAGCAGCAGCAACCCTGACTCCTAAAGAGCACTTTCTGCCTTGCAAAGCAATGGCCCAATGTCTTCGATTCCAAGGCTGCCCCCACAAAGTACCACAGACCAGGTGTCCTAAATTTCAGCTCTTGAGCCCAGAAGTCTGACACCAACATGTCAGCAGAGGTGATTCCCTCTGAGGGTGTGAGGGAGAATCTGCTACAGGCCTTTGCCTTAGCGTCTGGTGCCAACATCTGCCGTCACCCAAATCTCTGCCATCATCTCCACACACCATTCTCACTCTGTGTGTGTCTCTGTGTCCAAATATCCCCTTGTTATGAGGACACCAATGCTATTGAATTAGGACTCGACTTAAAGACCTCATCCTGACTGGTTACATCGACAGTGATACTATGTCCACATCAGGTCACATTCTGACATATTGGGTGTCAGGACTTCAACATATCTTTTTGAGGGACATAACTCAATCCATTCCACACATCCTACATCTGAGACAATACACACCCCAGAATGCAGGTTCTGCCGTCCTTCCACAGGTGGGAAGCTGAGGCCTGCAGCCTATGGGAAGGACATTTTTTGTAACTCCTGCAGCTTCAAAATGAAGCATAAAATTGGCTACTTCTAGATGAACTCTTCTTAAACTTTTGGTCTCAGGACTCCTTTGCACTCTTCACAATGACTGAAAACGCACAAAAGCTCTTCTTTATCTGGGTACAGCTACCCAAATGAGCTATTTTTCAAATTGAAACTGACATAGTTTAAAAATACATACTTCTTAACATATCTAATATAAAAATAAATCAATTATAAGTTAACGTATATTAAATTTTTGTAACAAGTAACTATATTTTCCAAAATAAATAAAAATTAGTCAGAAGAATGTCATTTTTCACATTTTTACAAGTCCCTTCAATGTCTGGCTTCCTGGGTGAGAGCCAGACTCCCCTACCTGCTTCTTCCTTCAACCGGTTGCAATATCACACAGCATGTGGCCTCTGGAAACTCTGCTCTACCCTCATGTGAAGGTAAGAGTGGAAAAAGCAAATAATGTCTCAGCACTATTATGAAAATAGTTGGACCTCACACAAAGCCCTAAAACTGTCTCAGGGCCTCCCAAGGGTTCCTGGACACATTTCGAGAACATCTGCTCTATGTTAGGGGTTGGGAAACATTTTCTGTAAAGGACCAAACAGGAAATAATTCAGAATAAGTAGGCCATTTGATCCCCTTGGTAATGACAACTCTACCATTGTAGCAGGAAAGCAGCCACAGACAATGCTGAACAAATGGGCATGTGTGTGCCAATTAAACTTTACTATAAAATCAGGCAGCACGGTAGATTTGGCCCCACTGTTATAGTTTCCCAATTGCTGCTCTAGATGATAATAAAAACCAAGACGTCAACTCTACCCCAGATGCCCATGTGCCTTGGTCCCTTCCTTTGTTCCAAGTCTGGTCAGTGTCGTCTAAAAGAGACCTTCCCTGATAACCCAATATCAAATAGCTCAGCCCACAGCTCTGAAACCCATTCCAGCCTTATTCATCACCATCTAACCCATTCTTTGTTTATTATGTGTCTTCCCCAAGGAGCGACAGCACCCTGAGGGCAGGGACAATGTGGTCTTGTTCCCAGCAGCCCCCTGTGTCTAGAAGAATGCCTGGCATTTAGTACATTCTAAACAAATGTATTCTGAATGAAGGAAGTAGCTTTTGCTTGGCCTATCCATTTCACTCACACACTGCATCTTCATTTTCCTTTCAAATGGTGGGATTCACTGGTGAAATAGGGACATTAAAAGAACCATGTGTTCCTTTTTGCAAAGAAGTACATCACTGACTCCATTAACATCTGTATAAAAATATACTCTCACTTCACACAGAACAACACTTCTGTGACCACGTGTGTGCGGATTTTCTCCCTCACTGACCAATTCTCCAGAACCCGCTGGGTTCAATCCAATTCTGACGCTAACCAGGGTTAGTGCAAACCCCAAAGTTTAAAGCCTCCCTCCCACAGACTGTCCACACTTCAGACACCGATCACAAGTACTAGGTACCCAGGTTACACACACTTCTGTCTGACTTCGCTACAAATGAGAGGTTCCCACACACCCCTTCTCCGGTTCCATTCGCTAAAACAGCTCACAGAACCCAGGAAAACCGTTTACTCACTGGGTTACAGGTTTATGACACAGGATGTCACAAAGGCTACAGTCTCACAGCCAGATGAAGAAGCACAAAGGGCGAGAAGAGCACAGAGAGGCGCGGAGCTCCCACACCCTCTCCAGGCGGGCCACCCTCCACCCCCTCAGCAAACACCAGAGCCCTCCAAGCCCTGTGCTCTTCAGCTTTTCTGTGGCCTTCATTGTGCAATAGGCGTGACAGATTAAATCATTAGCCTTTAAGTGACCAACTCAACCTGCACCCCGTCTCCTCCCCTCCCTCTAATCACAAGGTTGCTTCCCCTGGCAACCAGCCCCCATCCTTAGGGACTTTCCAGGTTATTCCATTAATATAAACTCAGGGGTGGTTGAGAGGCGATTCTTACGAAAAACAAAAGAAAAACAAAAGAGGCTCCATTCACCCTTCTTTCCTCCATCACGCAGGGAGTTACAAGGCTTTTAGGAGCTCTGACCAAGAAATGCATACAAAGACCATATTTCTTTTCATGTATCACGATATCACAATATGTAATATGTTACTTGCCTTCAGGACAATCAGATTTCACAAGTGTAAGTCTCGCCAGCACACACTGAGAGCCTTGGAGTAGGAGTCAGAAGGCCTGGCGTCTGCTTCCAGCCCGGCCACCCACCACCCTGGGGACCGCCCCTGCTCCTGAGCTTCAGGTTTCTCAGCTGACGCCCAGGGAGGGAGGGTCCTGTTTGCCCTGCCTGCTGGCCACACTGCTGAGGGAGGTCCCAGAGGAGGATGGGTGTGGAGACTAAGCTGTCCCAGTGAGAGGAAGTTCCGAGAATCACAAGAACAGGCTTGCCCAGAGTGTGTCACGCGCACCAGAACCCGCTCACGTGAGGCCTGCCAGCCCACGCCTCTGGCACTGCACACAAGCTGGAGCCCGAGAAAGGAGCAGCCTGAGGAAGGGGACTGAAGGGGCCATTCCAAGCACAGGGCTGGCCCCAGGAACACAGCAAGGCTGCAGTTCACTGCTCGAGGCACACAAAGACTCGATCTGATGCATGACAGCGGGTTTCAGGTTCCTGGTCAAACCCTGAAGGCAGAACCTTTCAGGGGACCGAGCGAAGTCCGCAACGCAGCGACCACGCTCTCAGTGAGAGACAAGGAAGGGGATGGCAGAGGGAGCAGGCGAACAACAGGACTTCCTGTGAGACGGAAACACACGCCCGCGCGTGAGCAGGCAGCCTGGAAACGAGCACGCCCACGGGCTCCTGACGCGACGGTCTCTATGCCGGTCTGGGACAACGGGGTTTCTCTAGCCTAACTAAGGGGAGGAACAGTGGACATTAAGGCCTAATAGGCCCAAGTGACGTTGCATCAGCTTCCCGACCATGCGCCCCCGAGCTTCCGAAGTTTCCGGTCTTGCGCAGTGGAGTCACTTCCGGTTAGCTTTAGCCTGTCTGGTCTGACGTCATGGCTGGAAGGTCCTCTGCGCTTCTGTTCCTCCTGGTGCGCAGGTGCGGACGTGTTTGCAAATGGCGAAGTTGCGGGTGATTGATAGGGTGGTTAAGCTGTCGTCCACGCGGTATAGGTTCAGTAACTGCCAGCCAAGGAGAGAGACAGTGTACATCGACTGTGAACATTTATGAGCAGCCTCCCTGGGGCGTGTTCCTATTCTGTCCATCCTCAATCCAAACTAGAAGCAGCTTCGCAGGACTGGGAAAGGAGCCAGATGGGTTTTCAACCAACAATGATCAGAGTCAGGGCAGTGACAGGGTCTTGTTTGGGTCCAGCTAGACAGCAATAAGACCCCACTGGACAAAGAAAAGCACAGTGTGGTCCTCCCTTCTGAGGCCAGCAGAAGCTAGGCAGGGTTCCTTCCGGAACAGTCCATCTGGAGAAGAATGGCTTAAGCAAGCATGTAGAGATAGAACCATGAGCTGCTACAAACCTCAGGTCTTCTAGATGCCTGCCGTGTTGATGACCTTGCTCTGAGCCCTTCGTAGTAGATCCTTGCTCTGAACATCATGTGGCTCATCTGTGGGTCCTGTTCTCATCCCAGCAGGCCCACAGGGACATGGGGTGGAGACAGGAGATGAGGGAAACGAACTAACACCACTACACATAACATAACAGAATGATGCCTCCCAGAGGAAGAAGGTGTCAGCAAACATTTACTTTCTCCCTGTGAGTTTGACTATACTGTTCTGAGAATGATCAGCGCGCGCGCGTGTGTGTGTGTGTGTGTGTGTGTGTGTCTCCGTCGGACACTAGGAAGAGGACTCTGGCAAGTCTGGCAGTCACCATGATGGTCCCTAAAGGGCAGCTCTCCTGGAGCTCAGGCCTGCCCTCAGTTGTGCTGTGGGACTCGGTGTGTCCTCAGGAGTCACCGTTCACCTGAGGGTCCAGGCAAAGACCACGTTTTCTCAGGGATTATAGCAGACCGAATGACTCAGGCTTGGGACAGACACCAGGGGGTGAAGGAGGGAGATCCTGGGACGAAACCAATCTCTGCGGGTAAGAAGTAGATTTCCGAAATAGTGTGTGGAGCACGCATGGCATTTTGAGCAGAGGGTAGACCTACAGTGGGCAATGGCTGTGTGGAAAGTTGACCCTGTGGAGGGGCTGACTTCTTGGGTGCTCACTATTCCAGAACCTTCAGTGACCCACAACCCACAAGTAGCAGGGTTAGGACCTATGAGACTTCAAAAGACCTGCAAAATGTTTGATACGTCAAATGGAACTTGCTGGATCAAGCAAACTAATATGTAGAGTTCAAATTAATAAATATTTTCTTAAATAGCTATAAAAATTTATCTCCATGTCAATTAATCCATGACGTTCAGCTCATCAAGTTACATGAACAGCATGTTTGATGTGGGATATACGGGCCATGTAATCCATTTGATGGGCTGTGCGGTGGGGGCTGCAGAAGTCAGTGTCCTCTGACACAGGGCAGGTCCAAAATGGTCCTGAATCACTCACAGTTGGGACAGGGTAGTGCAGGAAGGTATGGCTTGCCCTGCCAGACATCCGCAGTGGCCTGTATCTCTGACTTCCCATGGGGGCTTGTAGTGATGTGAGTGGTGATCCCAAGAGCCCAGGGTAGTGGGGAGGGACACTGGGCACTAACTAATCCATGACAGAGAGACTTCTCAGAAAGGAAATAAACTAGGACTTCCACACACCCATGTCAATAGAGTAAAGAGATCCTGTGACACGGGGGGAAGGGGAAGAACATGCAGGTTCCAAACATGAAGGAATTCATGACATTTGTCTTCAAGCTGCCCCTGCCACCTGCTCTGCTTGACACTCTGCTCCCCCAGCTACTCCTCACCCTGCAAGGCCCCTTTATCACTTTCCTTCCCACCCTTTACTTTTCTTCCAAAGTGTATCTCAGAGCTTGTAACTGATCAAGGTCTGCCCTCCATTACACAGGCAGCTTCCGGCAGGCAAAGCCATGTCTACTGATTATGACCATGACCCCAGCACCAAGCAGGCACACAGAGCCTCTCAGCAGATGTTTGAGTAATGAAATAAGAGCCCACTGCACATCGTTCTGGAACACCAACAACCCCACCCACATCTACTGATGGATTAGAGACCACGTGATGTAAGTTTAACCCAACCCTGGGCAAATTTCACTGCATATGACATTCCCAAAAGGCCACTGGGAAGACCAAGATGTTTCCTGTCTCCACTGGGATATAGTCAACTGTAGAGGTTGGGCACACGGGCTCTAAAACCAGAACGTCTTGGTTATGCACATGGTTATGTACATGAATGTTCATAGCAATGTTATGCATCATAGCCAAAATGTTGAAATGGCCCCAGTGTCCATCAGCTGATGAATGGATAAACAAAAGTGGTAAATCTCTACAAGAGAATATCATTCAACCATAAAAAGGAATGAAGTAGTGATTCATGCTATAAACTGAGCGAACCACGAAACTAAGTTGTATCGACCATAATTGACTTGTATAGTCTAAACCTGAATTCTTTCTAGCCAGACCTAGTAATCAGATCTCCTGGAACTCACCAAAAAATGAAAAAGAGAGTGATTTCTTTTTCTCATTACAAATATTCTAACATTTTCCCAAACGATTATCTGCCATTGTTGTTGACATATTTCATTACATCCCTCAATATACTTTCCCTAGATAGATGCAAGGAGATTTTTTTATAGGTAGCTATCAAGAAAGTCCCCTATGTAGGACCTGAGACACTGCACACAAACACATGCTCTACCATCAAGCAATGTCTTTTTCTCATAAGATGGATGAGATTCAGACTATGAATCCTATTTCCCAGCAAGGTAAAACAAATGGTATGCTATTCCAAGAGACAGCCTGATCATCTGCAATAATGAAGGAGAAACATACAGTGTTCATTGGTATTTCAATAAAAATTTACTTTTGTAGTTGTGCTGTGTCCAAGCCTCTATTGCTCTATGTCATACATACATACGTGTGTGTGTGTGTGTGTGTGTGTGTGTGTGTGTGTGTGTGTGTGTGTGTGTGTGTGTGTGTGTGTGTGTGTGTGTGTGTGTGTGTGTGTGTGTGTGTGTGTGTGTGTGTGTGTGTGTGTGTGTGTGTGTGTGTGTGTGTGTGTGTGTGTGTGTGTGTGTGTGTGTGTGTGTGTGTGTGTGTGTGTGTGTGTGTGTGTGTGTGTGTGTGTGTGTGTGTGTGTGTGTGTGTGTGTGTGTATGTGTTGGGATTTTCTTGGTGGCCAGCCAGTACAGAGATCTGAACCCTTGACCTTCGTGTTGTAAAACCGTGCTCCAACTAACTGAGCTTACTGGCCAGCCTTATATACATAAATATATAATTTTTCACATTTATAAAAACCACTCATGCATATATATCCTTGACTAGAGATATGAGCATAAAAGTATTTTATATATGTATATAATCAAACATACATAAAGCTATATATAATTCAATATGTTTCCAACTTTATAGATATCTCTACAAGACAGATGATATAAAATCATATATAGCTTTCTACTTCTCTGGGTAACCCACTAATCCACACTGAATTCAGTGTCAGTTCAAGAAGTGGCAGGGCCCTCCCCCGCTGTGTAGAGGGCAAGGGTGCAGATGATGCCTGGATGGTACTTGGCTCTGTACTGGTACAACATAAAGGGGAGAGAAATCCTTTGACCAGGCTCAGTCTCCTAGAGTCCTGCAACTTGCATCTCCTTGCCTGGTCTTGCCAACAGCAGAATTCCATGCCTAATTTTGATTCACCTAAACCTGTAGTCTGTGTGTTTTTGACAAAGAACATTATCCCACTTTCCTATCAGATGCTGAAAAGTCATTCTTTCACCAAACATTTGCCAATATGTGAGAGAATATGATTCTGTTACTGTCTTAATACGTTTAGTGCTAATATAACAGAATACCACAGATTGAGTAAGTTATAAACAGTAGAATATTATTTGTCTCATGGTTCTGGAGGTTGAAAGGTCCAAGATCAAGGGCCCACATCTGGCAAGGGTCTTCTCGTGCATCAAACCATGGCGAAAATTGGAAGGGCAAGAGACTACATGCAAAAGAGAGCAAGAAGGGGCCAAACTCACTCTTATAATAAGCCCACTCTTGTGCTAATAAACCCACTCCAGTGCTAACAACATTAATCCATTCATGAGGGCAT